TGGTGGAAAGCATAGGCTGCAGGTGTTGGCGTTGAGGGGATGGTGGTCTGTGTGAATGCTGATATCAAATGGTACTTGCCAGAGGCATGTTCTACTGTTGTTCCATCATCCCCAAGCCCCAGTATTGCTTCTGGGAAAGGATTATACTTTTCCCTGAGAGGGCAGAAATGCACAGCCCCTTAGACCCTCCCTGTGGACCCAGATGGTGGGAAGACAGGAAGAGGTTTGCTTCTGGGAATTTCATTTTTATTTATTATTTATTATTAAGTCTTGTTCCTTCTTTATTATTATTATTTTTTAAATAATTAAGAAAAGAAGTTCCTTCAATCCTCTTTTTAGATTTTGGGCAATAAGTCTTTATGCTTCAGTCAGCTTTTGGCATGGATACGTGTGTGTGTGTGTGTGTGATATTTGTTAAAACATGAAAGAACTTTTCTAAACTAAATCATCACTTTTCTCTTGCCCACATGGATATAAGTGTGTGTGTGTATGTGTGTGTGTGAGTTTGTGAGGGAGAGGGAGAGGGAGAGAGAGAGAGGGAATGATTTAAACACACTCTCCTAATAATTCAACAAGGGTGGTTTGTTTTGCGGGGGAGGATAAGAGGTGAATGAGCACTGTGTGGGACCCCTTCTCTCAGGAGAGGAGATGGGAATATAAAGGTTGGAAGGGGATAGGATTCATGGGCAGCCAGTTGGGGCCACTAGAAAATCTTCAGCAGACCTGAAGGTAGAATTGTGACATCTCCTTCCCAGCTTTCTACTTCTATCTGCTGCTAAGAGACGGGAGTTTTGGAACACAGACTATAAGGCTGAGAGGGCTGATGGTCCATGATAACAGACTTCTTCACGTGGTATTTATGATGGTCTCACAAAGTCCTGCATGTTAGCTCTTGGCATGAGAATAGGGAAAACTTTAACAAGTCAATGTAGCCCCTCTTGTTTTAGCTGAGGAGACCTAGAGAAAACTGAAGCATAGAACCAAGGCCATTAAGCTTGTCAGGGCAAGACCACACTCCCAGTACCTTTATCTCTAGTCTGGTGATTCATGACTGTGTACACTAACAGGTAGAATGGCTACAAGAGGCCCAGGATCTTGGACGTTTTTCTTAAAATGTACTGATGTGCACAGCACTTATCCCTAAATTAGAGCAATATTTTGTTCTATATTTCACACATTTCTAAATTTTGTGCATTATTCTGTATAACACATACAGCTATAAGCTCATTATTAAATGTGGCACACTGATGACTTTTTAGCAGAAACCCTATAGCTCTGACATAAAAATTATAGCTGTTGCAAGTATGTGTTAAAATGCTTGTTTTTAGTTGAAATTTATGTCCTGTCTGCTTAACTCCATATTCTCCTGTTTAGGGAAGGGACATCAAGGGTGCATGGAAGGGAACCTGGCCTGCTCTCCTGGGTGTGAAGGGACCTGCAGGAGTATCCAGGGCTTGCCTTGTCAGGCTCTTGCTCCACTTGTATACACGCTGGCTATTGAAAGCTGTCTCTAAACCCCCTCTGCAAAATATCCTTAGACTAGGAAATATCTCACTTGGAGTTTAGGCAGAAACTTCTGCCATTAGCAGGAAGCCCATCATTGTAATGGCCACCCCTATATTTCCCCTGACTGTCCCTAAAGCCATACTCTGGGGCATTCTTCCACTGTGGGTTCTGATGCTTTTTCTATTCCTTGTTTCAGGAACCTCCTATCTGTTCATCTATAATTACTTTCTCCACAAAAGGACAGGCTGGTCCAGGAATAGCATGAGGGAATGTTTGAGGTTTTCTCTGAGATAAGACACATGTGAAAAAAAATAATTATCGATGGGAGTTTGTTCATCTTTTATAGTGTTTCCTGAGTGATGCTCTAAGAAATCTGTATTCTAGAGACATCAAAGTGTATTCTACCTAAACAGGTTGTATGTTCAAATAAGTCTGGTAAGCACAGTGTTAAAACAAAATCACTGCAGTACTTTTCAGAGCTTTTAATACAAATTTTCATAGAAGTTGTAAGTTTTCAGGAGAAATATGGCTCACTGCATTTTTCTTGAATGCATTTCATCAACAATGCTGCTGTTTTCAGAAAGTATCACCCAAGACCAGAATTTATGAACCCAATTTGTGAAAATTTGGGGTAGACTTTTGAAGTATTATTTCTGGGAAAAAAAAGGTTTTTTATTGTTGTTGATGTTGTTTATTTTATTTTTTTATCCAAAGCTTACTTAGAGATGGTGGGGGCGGAGGAGAGAAGGAGGGGAGGAGGTATGAAGGATCATGATGAGGCAGAAGGGTGGGGAGGAAGCACTGGAAAGGCAACTGGGAGAAAACAGAAGTCAGTCCCCTCAGGTGACTCGCATGGGTGTGAAGGTCATTTGTGCAGTTCAGTATTGAACATGTCATTGTACATAAACTTGGGTGATGGGCATCCCTGCAATTGGGTATGGAGACATGCAGGGCAGGCATCTTGGAAAGTAAGAGTTCAGCTTTTCACTAGGTTTATTCAAATACTGGATACTGTGGATGTTCCAGAAATAGGCCTGTTTTCTGGTTACTTTGATCTCATGATACAATAATGATGGTGCATAAACTAAAAGAAATGTCCAGAGAATAACCATGAAGAAGGAAAGACAAAGGGGGAAAGGATAACATTGGAGAATCGAATTTTAATTGCAACTGGTAGACATGATAAAAACAGAAGGTGATTGACATCTGGTTCTGGGATTAGATGGGTAGATACTATCTCAGGATCTGTTGCACATAGCTGGGTCACTGTCACGTGTCTGAGAACACCAGGAAAGACTAAAACTTGGATTTAGAAACTGCCCTTTGCAGCAACATGGTTACCTGAAAGGCAGATAAGTCACTCATTTGATAGAACCCAATGGCCCCCACGGGATAACCTGTGATTACATTCTGCCTGTGAAACTGTGTCTGTCATTGCCTACTAAACATTGCACAGAGCTCAGCAACAGGGCATAGTTCTTGGTATAGAACATGGCAAAGGGAAGCCTGGGCTGTCCTTTTGGAGGGCCTACTCTTCTTAGGAGATTATTGATGTAGGGAGTGCTTGGTGATAAGGAAAGAAGCCAGCGCAGAGATGAGGTTCAATGTGATCCTGACCCGGTGGAGGGCTGAAGAAAACCAGTCAAGTCCAACGGCTCAATCCTGGGGAGAAGAGGGAAACAGGGATTAGAGTTTTAACAACCAGACAGAAGTTTGGACACTCAGAGGGCTTTTGCCTTTTCTCTGAAAGGTGACAGTGACACATTGTATCGTTCATCTAAGCCCCGCTAAATGTGATACCTCTTCTCAAAAACACCTCCCTTGGTGTCCTCATGGAGGTCTTTGGGGAGTGAGTTTTGGCCATGTGCCTGCAGTGCCCAACATTCTGAATGTGGGGTAGTTCCACGGTAGCAAGACTCAGCTTTTGTCTCTCTGGCTGTTAGGTCCTTGAGAACAGTGGTGATGAAATCAGAAGCAGCATAGGCAACTGTCGTTCACTAACCTCTAGAATGTGCCAAATGCTTAAAAAAAATCCAAACAATAGTGTGATCATCCCCATTCTAGAAACAACAAAGCTGGTTCTCAGAGGCCAGTTAGATGTCCTCAAAGCAGGTATGGAGAGGGCCAGTATCAGACATTAATTTCCATTAAATCCATGAGCTTTTGCCTGCACATGGCTCTCGAAAATTAAAAACAAATACTGATGCATGAATTATATCCCCAGATATTTAGATTTAATTTCTTGGGAGTAGCATTTGAACCTCTGTATTTTTTGTTCCAGTCTATTTTATTTTTCTTCTCCATTTTTGTTGGTGCATTATAGTTGTGTGTATAATGGGATTTGTTGTTACATATTTGTACATACATAATAAAATGGTATAATTTGGCTAACATCAACTCCCTAGCACTTCTCCTCCACATCCCTGCCTCCCATCCTTGCTCCTTTTCTTCTACTGATCTCCCTTTGATTTTAAGGAGATCTATCCCCACTTTTCTTTTCCTTTTTCCTCTCTAACTTCTGCATATGATAGAAAACATATGACCGGTGACCTTTTCAGTTTGGCTTATTTCACTTAACATGATGGTCTCCATTTTCCTGCAAATACCATAATTTCATTTTTCTCTATGGCTAAATAAAACTCCACTGTGCATATACACTACGTTTTCTCTATCCATTCATCCATTGATGGACACCTAGGATGATTCCATAGTTTGGCTATTGTATATTGTGCTGCTATAAACATGGGGATACATGTATCACTGCAGTAAGATGACTTTAATTCTTCAGGATAAATACCAAGGAGTGGTGTATCCTGGTCAAATGGTAGTTCTGTGCATAGTCTTTTGGGAGCCTCCATACTGATTTCCATAGTGGTTGTACTAATTTACAGTCCTATCAACAGTGTAAAAGTGTTCCTTTTTCTCCACAATCTCTCCAGCATTTATTATTATTTGTATTTTTGTTGACTGCCATTCTGACTGCCGTGAGATGAAATCTCGGTGTCATTTTGATATATACATTTGAACCTAATATCTGCAGTTAATGCTAATGATGAACATTTTTTCAAGTTTTTTAGCCATTTGTATTTCTTCTTTTGAGAAGTATCTGTTTAATTCTTTTGCCCACTTATTAATTGGGTTATTTGATTTTTGGTGTAAAGGTTTTGAACTTTTTATATGTCCAGAGGTGATTTTAATGTGCTGACTGGGCTGGGAATCCTGGCCTTTCTTCTTGCTGTTTGGTTCATTCTGATATCCCTGATATCTAGGACTACACTCACCTAGATAGGGGATAAAGAAATGTGTATTGATTAGTTCTGAGGATATTCATGACGAGAGGGAAGCACAACACTTGGATACCACTGGAAGTTATTTATTAAGTATCTCCCTGGAGACTGAACTGGGAGATTTGATCAGAAGACATGATCAAAGACTGGAGGGAGGACTGATGTTCATTCTCTGCTGAGCGATGCTTTTCAAACCTTCCTTTGCAGGTGGTGTTGTCCTCAATCCTGCCTACTATGGCATGCCTGGCCATACCAACATCATGATCCATGAAGTGGGGCATGTTCTGGGACTCTACCATGTTTTCAAAGGGGTCAGTGAAAGAGAATCCTGCGATGACCCCTGCAGGGAGACGGTGCCGTCCATGGAAACCGGAGACCTCTGTGCCGACACCGCCCCCACTCCCAAGAGCAAGCTATGCCAGGACCCTGAGCCTGCCAATGACACTTGTGGCTTCAGCCACTTCCCAGGGGCTCCATTCAGCAACTACATGAGCTACACAGGTACCCCAACAGACTTGGTGCCTTTGTTTTTCATTAAGATAACCTGAGGGCTTCTGGGGGGTGGCAGGGTGGAGGAGTAGGGGCCAGAGAGATTACCAAGCAGTTAGAGAGTTGAAATGTTAGAAAACTGAAGTGTACTTAATATGGGATGTTCATTTTTCTTCCATGTCCTTGAAGAATCTCGTTGAAATACTGAGATACTAAGGGGTCTTGTTGAATGGATTCTTTTTCACTAGAGAAAAAAGAAAAGCACACTTCTTTCTTGGACAGTAAAAATGAAACAAAGCCAAAAGCCCTCTTGAGATCTCTTCAACTTCTAGAACTTGGTGATTCTTGTTCTTGTTCATGTTTTGGGGCTTTTACTCCAAAGAAGAGTCCAATAAGGATGGATGAAAGATGTTTCCGGGTCAAGTTGGCTCTTTGTACTACTTTTACAGTTGGCCAACAAGGCCATTTAGTTCATTTAAGCTCAGGATTCCTTTTGTTTTGTTCTTAAAAAAAATCAGATTCTCTTCTCAAACCCTGGCTAAACACTGACTCTCAGCTTGCCCTCCAATACACTGCCCAGAATGTTGCATTTCATTTTTAAGATGGTATCTTCATCCTACGAAAACTGTATTGTATGGCTTTTTTTTTTTTTTCAATTTAGCTCCTTGATTTTCCTTCTTTCCTGTCTCTCACATCTTCCTTGTTTCTGGCAAAAAGTAACACTAACATATGAAATAGACTATAATGGACTGAAAATTTGTCCCCAAAAATTCAGGACTAATTTGATTTGATGACCTATTTTATGGTGAAAGAAGATAATTTTTTTTTTTTGAGTTCCAGGTTCTTATTTCTAGAACTATGCATAAGAGGATCATCAGACCCTCATCATGGCTTTGAAGGGAAGAGTGTTGCACCAGTTCTTCCTGTGACCCACCAAGATATTTCTATCCAAGTTGCATTTTGGTGAATAATTCAGGTGTATTGAATTTATAAGCACTGACACCTCTGCCTTCCCTTGTTGCAAGGACATAGTGGCCTTTGCCAAGGCAAGAGACTGGATGATGTGGCGCAGAGATAAGAGCTCCATATAAAGTTCTCCATCTTTGAGATGGGCAGGGGAAACACTGAGGAAGCCAGATGGTGTGTGACTGGTGTTTTAAATGGAAAGGTTCCTGAAACTGAGAGAACTTCCTTTGTAACTCTGTGAGAAATGTACCTAGTAGGAAGAATTTGTTGGTTCCAAAAGTAAGACTGGGCCACCACTCCCATCCCTGTTGCTCCCTTGACACTTTAGTTTTCTTTTCCTCCAGCGTCTCCCCTGAGAATTCATTAACCTTGGCTAATATCACCGAGCAATAAAGCAGGTGTCTATAACTTTACATGCTCCCCAGGCTCAGGCCCTCTGCTGAAACACTGCCATCTTGTGGTTTGCTGAGTAAATAATCTTTGCTCATAGCAAGCCTATGCTCCAGGGTGCCAATCTCACCTGGGCCAGCCCAACATTAGTTGACGGCCTTGCTTGCAGACAAGGAGGTTCTTTCTCTCTTCCTCTTCTAACTTAGTTATTTTCTGGAACAAAATGTATTTATTCTTTCAACGAGTGTTTTTTGAACCTAACAAGTGCAAGGTGTTGGGTTAGGTGCTGGGAACAACTAAGAAGACAGGATTTGTCCCTGCCTTGGTGGTTTGCAGGTTGAAACCTCTATTACTTGTGTTTTTCTTTTTTTCCCCACAGATGATGACTGCACTGACAGCTTCACCCCTAATCAAGTGGCCCGAATGCACTGCTATTTGGACCTTGTTTATCAGCAGTGGAGTGAAAGCAGAAATCCCACCCCCATTCCCATCCCACCCATGGTCATTGGGCAGACCCACAAGTCCCTCACTATCCACTGGCTGCCTCCCATTAGTGGAGTTGTATATGACAGGTGAGAGGGGTGCTCACCAGAGGTGAGCTGCAGCATTTTCTTTGCAGTGGTTTGTAGGAGAGGAAGAATGTAAAGCAAGGGGAATCCCCACATGGGACTATGTATGTGGGCTTCTCCACTTGGGGCTGCCTCTTCCAGCCTGCTGCATTCTGGCTGCTTAGTAGAGCACCCGTTCTTCTAGCACTTGCTCCTCAGGATGGGGCCTGAAGAGGCCAGCCAATGTGATCAGGATAAATGGGAGGAACTGAGAGGACATTTGCCCCCTGCCTCCATGGTGGGACAATGCATCAGTAGCTTGCTACTTTCACAGTGGTGTCTGGGGAGGGGGGAATGCATGCTTCCAGTGGGCGGGTAGATGGGTGAGTAGGAATGTACAACATGCCACAGGGCACTGCATCAGGGCTCAACTGACATATGTGGCATCTCTTCTACCATCTCTGCCTCCTGCTGCCCTGTGTCTTCCTCCCACCCCCAGAACCACTAGCTTATGGAGCTCTTATTAGCTGTGTCTTCCTGTCAGCCTCACTCATCTAGCAATGACTAAGAGTAAGAGAGGAACTTTTTTGTTTGTTTGTTTCTTGACCTGCTGCAATAGACACCTACTACATGCTTATTGAAGAAAAACATGAGACCTAAAACTAGATTATATTTTTTTCTTTTGTGTACTGGCATAAATGAATGTCAGGGTGATTATTTTTTAAAAAGCCAAAAAACAAAGCATAGAAAATGAATGACATCTGCGTGGGGGATGGGAGAGGCATTTATGTAGCTATTTTCTTGTACTTGTCCTATGTAGTCCTTGTGGTAGGCTCAACTCCTACTTAAAAAATATAGGCTTAGAGAATACACACAACCAGTCTGAGATCCTACAACTACAGAGAGGTCAACTGGGGGAATCCACTGAAAATTCAGAAACGAGGGACACGAAATAGATGATCTCTCTGAATCCTTGTGCCATACTTCCCCGCTGGGTGTCAGGGCCCAGCTACAGAGTTGACTATCCCTGGAGCTTTACTACAAGCCTGGGAAAGAGAACAGGGAGAGATGAAGAAAGGACAGAGCTGCTGAGGACTTTTTCAGTGTTACTCTCAGCCTCCTGGGATCTTGGCCCTTTTCCCTGATACCTTGATCCACACTCAGTGCATGACATCATTGAGATCTCACAACCCTACCAAACGGTCTGCATTGCCATCAGAAGCCAGGCTTCCCCGAGCTGCTTTGGGTGATTCAGCTCACATCTATGCGATGTGTCTAAGAATCATCCTTCTGCAAGTGTGACCTTGTGCAGCCTCGGTTGGACTGGCTGAACAGTAAGTCCTCTGTGGGTACGCGCAAACCGGAGTTTTACATCAGTTTATGTAACACATGTAAACAATTTAATCTTTCAGTTCTCTCTCTGGTACAACCGTTACGATAAAGCAGACATCAGAGCTGGCGTGCTGAGAGCCTGTTGGCAGAAAGGACTGCAATTTGCTTCCTTTCCTCAGCTAGGTGGGCTAGCTTTGAGGCCTCCCAACACGCGTGTTGGGGGGACTCACGTCACATGCCCGGTGATTTGTGTCATTCCTGGAGTTATGTTTACTCTACCCCAGTAGGTATTTGGAATCCTTATGTCAGAAAGGAGCCCCAGCTACGCACTAGGAGCAGCTCCGGAAGGGCCAAGTGCATCAGGGACATGTGGTTTGGAGTCGCATCTGCGTTAGGAGTGAGCTCTATTTGGAGTCAGCGGGGGCCTCAGCTACACCTCTTAGTTGCCAAAGCACCAGACACTAGACGGTGTTTGGGAACTTGCTCTTGCTTGAAAGAATTAAGGAACTTGTGACCTTGAGCAATTTACTTAGCCTCCCTGAGCCTGAATTGTCTCCCTTGTAAACAGAGGGTTGTTACAGGGATTAGAAATAATTTATGGGAAGTACATGTGGCACACAGCCAGGTATGGGAGGCATTTGATACATGGGAGCTGCTGTCATAACTATGCCCTTTGTTTAACAACACTGTTTCTCTAGCACATTGTAAGATGTTTAATATGACATTAATATATGCTATTAACATGCTACCTATTGAGTGTTCCTGATTCAGCGCCTGCATTTCAGACGTGTTGTTCAAAATTGGGCTTCTAAAAGCAGTCCAAGTACCAAAGACAAGCCTTATCAAGTGATTTCCCTTTGCTGTTTAGTTATTATTATTTCCACTTATTCTGCCTACCTCAAATATGGTGCTTGTATTTAATCATTAACCAATAATTATTTCATAGACATCTATAAGACAAGCACTTCCCCAAACTACTGAGCTGGTCCATATGCTGACTGCTGGGGATGGAAAGAGAATAAGCCAGGACTTGCTTAGCGGCAAAGGAAAGAAGTTAAATGGAAATTCTCAGCACCACGGAGCAGACTCCTAGGAGAGGAACCAGTGGGTGCCGTGGGTGCAAGAGGGAGAGCTGTCCGCTTAGAGGAAACAGCCTGTGTACTCCTGCAAAGGCTACATTAGAATGGCCCCTGAAGAATAGGAGTTTGCCAGACAGAGATGCTCGGAAAGGCCATGCGGCATTCTGAGTGGGGGACAGCGTGTTTCATGGAGCTATGTCTTTGTGGAATAATGATATGTTCTTTGGGATGGAAATATACCATTCCTTCATTTCTAATGAAGGAACTGCAGGAGGGGAGGCTGGAGCTGACTTGTGCTATACCTTGGATTGTGGGGAGGGGTTCAGATATGTCCTCATAGGCAGTGGAGAAATGAGGGACATTATATTTCACAGACTTTTATTTTATGTATGTAATTAAAATAGGGAGTCTGAAACAATGTTTACTCTGAAAATTACTGTCTGTTTTAGTGGGGAAAATTCAAGGGGTCTTTAATAATTTATCAACAGTCAGTATAGAAAGAAATTTTATATCAATTCAGATTGTAATTGTTTTGTGTTTAGTGTTCCCAAGACACAAGCTACCCACTTACATTCCACAGGCCTCCTTTATGACTTAAATTTTTCTCCTTCATGGCCTTCATATTTTGATGTCACTATGAATTTTGCAATTTTGATGTCTGTATAAGGAGGAAGTTGAGTTGACAAACACTTGTGCTTCCATTGCCCTCTAGGGCCTCCCACAGTAAGAGGCCCTTCCCCTGGGTCTTCTCAGTTTTCTTGTCCCAGCTCAGCAGAATGGATGTCCACCTTCACTGCTTCCTCTCCCCAGGGCCCCAGGCAGCGTGTGTGGTGCCTGCACAGAAGATGGGATGTTCCGTCAGTACGTGCACAGGGCTTCCTCTCGGCGAGTGTGTGATTCCTCTGGCTACTGGACCCCAGAGGAGGCTGTGGGTAAAGTACCATGGCTTTTCAACTTGAGCCTTAGTGGCCATTGACAATGGGGGTGAAAGTAAAGGAAGGGCGGAGCAGTGGCATGGTAAGGAACAGGCAGTGAGTGAGAGAGAGAGAGAGAGAGAGAGAGGTAGAGGTGTGTGTGTGTGTGTGTGTGTGTGTGTCTTGCTGGGTGTCTCCAGGGCCTTAGGTAGACTGCCTGGTGCATCTGTGTGCCAAATGTCTCATAAGCACACAACATGAGGCCCAATGGCTGTGATAAAGCAGAGATTAGCATACAGCACACAGGGACAGAGAATTCTGCTGAACTAGGGGTGACTTCAGGTGGGACAGGGCCAATGGTGTTCCGCATGCCTATTGTCTCTGGAACAGCCTTGTCATATGGCAGTGTAAGCTGATCTCTTCCTCCTCTGTATCAGGAGACTGACAGGGGGCACGGCAAGTTGCTGGGAACTAACACTCTGGCCCTGTGCATCGGGTGGGGGTGGGGTGGACTAGGTGTTCCACACTGATAGTTCTCATCTATGCTGTTTTACGAGTCCATTAATCACTGGTACTTGTTGTGCTTTGGATATGAGCTAAGCTCTACAAGAGAGATGTTTTTCGTTATCTCTTTTCCTGTCCCTCCTCCAACTTCTCAAAAAGTCACATACGCACTCACATAGGCACATCAGGGCTCCAAAGACATATTTCAGCATGGATCGTTTTCTAGTTCCAGATCAGAAAATGCTGTTGACATGACTTTTAGCACCTCCTGATGGATGGCTTGACGTCTTCTGACATCTGCAGCAGCTTTCCTAATAGTTATCTTTTGTCTTTGCTCCCCCCGCCCACTTATAATTCTTAAGACCCAAAAAAGTCTCCAGTAAGATGTGTTAGACATGGCTTATTTAAATTAATTTGCAATCTTGACTGTGACAAGAAATAAAGGACAGTGGCCTAAGAGTATCTGCATGAGGTCATCTTGGGCTTCCAGTTACCCAAGTGACAGAGCCTAAAGGAGAAAGCTGGAGGGAAGTGCCCGCAGGATGTATTGAGTGGCTTTTCTCAGATGAGAGATTTCCTTGGAGGATGGAGAGCCACCGTAGGATTGCTGCAGTAGACTCGTTTAGAGTCTGGCATTTCATAGAAGTCCCCTTTCTGTGGCAAACTGATCTAGTTTGGGACTTTTATATCTGTTGGACTCATTAACTCAGAATTTTTTTCATTTCAGTTTTTGGAAGCGTTCTAAATTTATCTGGCATAGGTGAAAGAATTTGAAGTTCTGGGTCCTAATTCTTATATCTTCAGGCAAACCAGGTCAATTTTGAGAGCCTTTATTTCACCTTTCATATGAAATTATAATAAAGAGCTTCTGACAGTCAGTGCCACCCCTGGGTTGGCTTTCAAGGCCTTTTCTTTACTGGCATTTGAGATAAGCACTGGAAACTTAGGATGAGAAAAAACTGATCTTCCTTTACTTTGAAAGAGTGAAGGACCTGGTCGTAATTAAAATACAGGAAGTAAAAGTAATTGAACCCTCAACAGAGCAAGCACAGACATTTAATGCAGGCACAAAATGTATTTCATGGCACTTACTTAACTCTTCTTGATCACCATTTAATTTCTAAATGCTATAGGGAATAGAGAATTGAATCAAGTGCATGCCTTCCTTAATTATCATGTTCTTGGTCAAAACTTCTCTGGCTTCATAATCTAAAATAGCTCCCATCCCCACCTCATAATTCTCTATTCCTTTATATTCCTTCATTTTTCTTCAAAGATGCCATTACTGCTTGAAGTTACACTTTATGTCCTTCCATTTAATAATTGTTACATCTATCACCTGTTGTAAGATGGGTGAAGCTTAGACTGTTATCACTCTTGTTCACCACTTGTCTCCAGCACCTAGAATGGCACCAGGTGTAATGCAAAACATGGTTTGTAATGAATCAATCAATCAACTCACAATGTTGGCCAAAAAAACAGTAAGGACCATCTTACACACATACATACATGTTTCAACTTATTCTGCTGGGCTTTTGGCCATTCTTTATTTTCCGAATTCTGAAGGACTAAATAATTCTACTTTTGCAAATGTAATTACTTCATTTCTATGAAATATTGTATAGATATTTTACACTCCCCTAATAGGGCAGAAGTTAAATATTAGTGCGTATTTTGTAAACAAGCAAATCAAAGCTTAAAACACTGTGCCTACTATGGCTGCCTAGCTAAGGTAAGGGTACAGTGCCCGCTGGAGCCTAACCTGGCTGATCTCTAATCCAACACATTTTCTTCAATTCCCTTCACATGATATGAAATAAAACCCATTCTTATGGATTATTTCCAGAGCTGACCTTATTGCATTTTATTTTTCACCATTACATTTTTTCTTGGTTACCAAGTTCCACCTTTCCCCACAGTCCTCTCTCTGTGTTTGCATTTCCTCCCTGCAGTTCCCACCTGCTCACATGCACCTGACCTCACAGGAGAATTCAAACATGGTTTTAGAGTCTGGCCAGCAGTTGAGAAGATGAGGTGCCACAGTGGGGTCTTAGGGAATGGGAGAAGTCTTATGAAGTACACCACAGAGAGGATAGTGACAAACTGAAGTTAACCTTGGGCTTCAGAAGCACTAATTTTACCATACATTATTAATGAACTCAGTATGCAATTCTCCTCTGCCCAAGAATTTCTGGAGAACATGACTTGACATCTCTGCATCAGTCTCAGGGTTCCACCTGGGATCTGATTGTCCCATTCCCAGGTCCTGCTGAATCCCTTAAAGGACACCAGGTGGAGGTGACAGTGACAAGAGCATCATTCCTTTTACTGTTACGCTTTGCCCTTATTAGTCCTTAAGTCACAACCTGCTATGCTGGCCAACTTCCCTAGGAATTCAAGGCTCTCTCCTCCTTCTTTCCTCATTCTGACAGCTGATACGGGCTACTCATTCATTTTCGGATTAAAATTTTTATTTTATTATTATTATTATTATTATTATTATTTGGGGGGTTCTGGGTCATTTTCAGATTTTAGTAGCAGTTCCTGATGTGCCTTTCTGCTCCCCTGCCTCAGGGCCTCCTGATGTCGATCAGCCCTGTGAGCCGAGCTTGCAGGCCTGGAGTCCTGAGCTCCACCTGTACCATATGAACATGACGGTGCCCTGCCCTGCAGAAGGCTGTAGCCTGGAGCTGCTCTTCCAACACCCAGTGCAAGCCGACACCCTCACCCTCTGGGTCACTTACCTCTCCATGGACTCTTCCCAGGCACTCTTTGATACAGAGATCTTGCTGGAACACCAGGAGTCTGTACATCTGGGTCCCTTAGACACTTTCTGTGATACCCCACTCACCATCAAACTGCACGTGGCTGGGAAGGTCTCAGGGGTGAAAGTCTACACCTTTGATGAGCGAATGGAGATTGACGCGGCCCTCCTGACTTCCCAGCCCCATAGCCCCTTATGCTCTGGCTGCAGGCCTGTGAGGTACCAGGTTCTCCGGGAGCCACCCTTTGCCAGCGGCTTGCCCATGGTGGTGACACACCCTCGCAGGAAGTTTACAGACACGTGAGTTGGGTTGCAAGGCCTTCCAAATCATGGGGCTTCCTGAACCTTGGGAGTCAATTTGATTACCACTTTTTAATTTTTTTTTTTTTTTTGATTTCCACTTTTTAATCTTCTGATATGCATTTAGCTGGAGAAATGTTGAGAATCTCAGGGAGGATTTTATTCTCAAGTGGCATGTCTGAGATGAAAAATATTTCCCAGAGAGGGACAAGCAGATGTTCTGATTGCTGAGGCCATCATTATGATTAAGGGGAAAGGAGGTTAGTATATGAGGTCTTTGAGTTGGACTGAATGTACTGGCCAAGAGTAAGTTCATCAGAATTAGATTCTTCGGTCCCATGACAATTTGCTTTCTGATTCTTGCTGTAGCTTTCTAACAATCTGACATGGCTTCTGTAAAATTCACAAGTTACAGTCTACTCTGCTATAGCTCAGGCTACAGGCCCTGCAGGCACCAAAGTCTGCCCCATGACTCACTCACAACGTGTGTTTCATACTTTCCCCCTTTTCTCATCTCTCCCTCTCTCTTCTTATTTTCTTCTCTTCCAAGTCTCCTTTCTCTTATTTCTGTTCTTTCTTCCTATGCTTAGTGAGTTCTGCTGTGTTCCTGGCACAGTCTGCTCAGTGCTGGGGACACAGACTCAGATAAGGGGATTACCTACGAAGAATTCAACATCTGTACTTGGAGACGGGTATCTCCAAAGACAAATTCCCTTCACCTCATAATTCCTTAGAGACTGCCCTGAGGGCAGAACAAGGGTAAAATAAAGTTTTGTCAGAGGTGCTATATCAGTTTTTGCCGTGGTAGAAATCATGACAAAACATAGTGACTTAGAACAGCTAGCGTTACTTCTTATGATGCTATGGATGGGCTGGGTGTTCTAGTCTGGATGGACTTGGCTGGAGCCAGATGGCCTGGGATGACCTCGTGCACACATTGGAAGCCTCAGCAGAGACAGCTGGCATGCTGGGAAGATGAGGGCCTCTTTCTGCCTGGTCTCTCAAGTCCCAGACTGGGCTGCTTCTCATGGTGGTGGAAAGGTTCCCAGCAGCAGGGAGGGCAAGCCCCAAGTGGCCTGCATGTCTCAAATCTCTGCTTTATGTTGCTCAAGACAATGTTCCACTAGCCCAAGTGAGCCATACAGACAACTCCAGCTTCAAGAGCTGGCAAAGTAGACTCTCAAGAGGGGCATCCTGCATGGGGTGGCCTTTGGCACACTACCGCAGCTATAAAATCTAAAGAAAATGTTCATCTTAAGCTCCAATACATTTTTCTTCCCATATTTGCTCTTTTAATTAGACTCAAAGAAGGTAAAATGATGAAAAACCTAACGCAAATGGGAGAACATATAGACATATCACAGGTATATGTACAAAGAAAAATATCACTTTTGAACTTCTCTAATAAGGCAGTTCACATGGTGTTACATGCATATGCACATAGTGTTTAAGGCTAGTGACATCCCATTTTATCAATAGAAAACTGAGGCTGAACTTCAGTTTGGTTTGCAAGCTGGTGAATGGCAGACTCAGGATTTAAATTTGATTTCCCAACTGAATTGCATTTCCACCCTGTTTCCTCAGTTAGGACACTGCCTTTTACAAACTCAGAGCACTGAAGGCCTGCTGCTAAGTTTTCCCCCAAGAACAGTAAACACAAGCCTGTGTTTCCATCCATCCTTTTCTCGGCCACATAACAGTGTCCAACTTTTATTCATGGTTGGACAAGAAGTCCCACAGAAAACCCCTATAAAGGGAAACCATCAGCATTGATTAGAATATAAAATAAAATTGATTTTGCTTTAAAAATATCCAGCACTCTCATGAGAAGCTTGCTCCCCCACCCCCTAAAAGGAGAGCTAATTTGAAAATTTAAAAGTCTTTAACATTTGAGTGTCTTTTCTATTAAAATTCCTAAAAACCAGTACAGAGGTTTTTAAAGGTATTTTTTTTTAAATCCCAAGACATTTCCTGTTTGCTGTTGCTACATCAGGTGAGGGTGGGAAATCTTTGTGGTTGAGTTGAAGAGTCTGTTAAAGAAAAGAGGGTCTGAACTGGGGATATAGCTCAGTTAGTAGAGTGCTTACCTCATGTGCACAAGGGCCTGGGTTCAATCCCGAGCACCACAAAAAAAGCAAAGAGGGTCTTGGCTTTATGGCTGCCATGAATAGCAGTCCCATGAAATCCTGTCTTCCTAGGTAGTCTCCTCCTGCCTTGACTCTGGTGGTAGATTTCCAATCCGGGAAAGCACTGGGCAAAATTAAGATGAAAGCAGAATTTGTCTTTGGAACTAGAAGCTCCCTTCCAGAACTTTCCCCCTTCTAAGTGCCCTGCCTCTCACTTTCTCCACCTGATATGTGTACTTAGGCTTTAGATAGTCTGAGAAACTCCCTCCATCTCTCATGTCAACTGCTGCAGCCACGTTCCTGGTATTGTAGATAGACATTAATTTAATGCATTCCTGACCATGAATTTTTGCCTCCTCAAAATGGTGATGGGAGGTGTTCTTACCTTCTTCTCTGAAATAGTTGCTCTTACCCCTAAGGGTTCGTCTCCTTAAGACAAGAATTCCTTTGAGAGCTAAGAGAACTATAATCCACAGACCCAAGAATGGCCTCAACTGAGCCCATATTCCCCAGCTTTCCTCTCCAGGCTGATTACTTTGAAGATACAGAACGCTGGTTTTCCAATGGTTGTTTTGTTTTGACTTGGTTAAAACACTCTTCACATACCCTTCTTCTAGATTGTCTGGGACATTTACCTTTTGTGTTAATTCAGCAGACATTTATTGTACATCTACTATATGAATATTAAGGGAATATAGAAATAAATATGGATTCAAACATGCTGCTTTATACAATTTTCCCCTGATCTTTGCTTCAGATAATTGTGGTATGTTTAATACTTATGTTCCCCATAACATTTCACTTACATTCTTGAAAAACATCTGCAAAAGGCCCATTTTTAGGAGGTCATGGTCACCAACCCATTGGTTTCCACAGGGAGGTTATACCTGGGCAGATGTATCAGTACCAAGTTCAAGCTGAGGCTGGATCAGAATTGGGAGAAGCTTCACCTCCTCTGTACCACATCCACGGTGCTCCTTACTGTGGAGATGGGAAGGTGGCAGGGTAAGTATTACGTGTGTGGGAGTATGTGAGCGAGGTCATAAAAGGTTTAGCCTCCAGTTTGAGCTTGGCTTGTTTAGATATGTAGAGACAAGGCCCTGGGTGGTTCTAGTGTTAAGATTACAAAATCTGGGACCTGGGATGAGCTTGAGAAGCCACTGACACCTCTTCACTTTCATCTAGAGCTCATCCCAGAGCATTGGGATATTGGAGTTGATTCTCCAGGGCTCCCCTTAAAGCCTCAGTGAATAACTGTGGCACTTATTCAGGGGAGGAATTTATGCAGAAAACTCCATGTCAAATGATGATGAAGGGGATATATTTTGGACCAATGGCCCACCCTTACTAATAACCCTATACTAATAAGTTGTATGATTTTGATTTTACCAAATGGCTTTGAGCAAAGTGAGTTGCTCATTGGACCCCTGAAAGAACTAATTAAAATGTAATTTCCAGCCTTTCTGTAAACATCACCAACATAAAGATGGAATACACCTCTTTGGTTTCTTAACATACCATGTTACTTTCTTGTTGTCCTTCAATATCAACATAGGGAACTAATTCATTCTGTTTTCCAATTTTAGCACTGAAAAATCTTCAGTCCCAGGAAAACCGGGGCAGTTTGTCACTCTACATCAAAGTATCCTTAATGCACATGTAGCCTGATTTGTTAGTTATGTAAATCTTCTGGGAGGAGGAGGCTGGAAGGCCAGTTACTATGATTTGTCTTAGAGTCTGCATTCTATTAAGGTAGCCTATTTTTAATTTCCCAAACCAGGTGAATGGCCCTAATGGGAATCAATTCTGAGATCCCATCCCATCATTTAGCAATCACTGAACATTGTTTATCTTTTCAGTCTTCTAAGATCCTTAAGCTGTATGTAAGTTTACTCCTTTGCATACAAGTATAAACACTAAACGTTTCCAGACCTCTTTCAGACATGGAAGCAAATGAGGTCACTTCATTACACAAACCTTGCTAGTGCACTGCCTCTCCCACCTCAGCCTGCTATCGCATCTCCCCTGCTCAAATCCAGTTTCTCCCTGGGGATGCTTCCTATGCACACAGAATGAGACCAACTGTTGCTATTGGTTTCCATGTTCTGGCTATCTCATTTCAGGCCTACAGCCCATAAGTCAAGGTGTCTGGGTGGCTGTGTTCTGACTGCTGCATTGGCAGAGCCCTCCTTGAACAAAACACTCTGCCTTAAGTAATAGGCTTGTGAAGGCCAATCTCTTATGTAGCCACCTTGAGGCCCCAGGGTGTCACATTTGCTAGGTGTTGTGGGGCAGAACAGTGTGCAGGACCTTATTCCTAACTTTATGTATTCACATTTGCTCCTGTGTCTTGAAGTAGCTTCAACTGAGGCAGCACTTTTTGACTACTGGGTTGTATAAGTTCTTTGTCAAAATACACTTTTCACCCTATGCAAGTACCCTCCCTCTGTGCGGAGGAAGGACTGCTATGACACCCAGCAAGAAGATGATCACTGAATCCTAGCTCTGCCTCAGCTGGAAACACCCATTACATGTAAATCAGACAGGAGCCAGACAAACCATCCCACCCACCTGGTACCACTTGTCAGCAAGACTGTCAAAATAGGCACAGCAAGCCCCTCGGAATTTAGAGCAGCCCCTCAGAAGATGATCCCTTGGTGTGTGTTTCCAGCACAGGAGCTGCCAGCCATATGTGGCTCCTGAGGCTGTGAAATGTGGCAAATACAACTAAGAAACTGAATATTCGATTTTATCTAACTTTAAGTAATGTAGTTTAAAAACTGGAACTCAATTCAGTTATTAGAAAACCTTTAATTTAAAGACTTGGGATAACTTGGGTGGGTGAATCTACTCTTTCAACTACATATTTTATGAGTTCTACATAAAGATCAAGTATTTAAATTGGAAAAAGAATGTAACATACCTCAATAATTTTATACTGATTACATATTGAAATGATAACATTTAGATATGTTGAGGTGGCTGTAATATTACTAAAAGTAATTTACCTGCTTCTTTTTACTCTTCATGGCTACTAGACAATTAAAAATTATCTGTGACTTTCATTATATTTCTATTGGGCAGCACTGAACAGGAATACACAATATGCATAGATTATCTTCAAAACAGAAATATAAAAGTACTGCCCTTCAAGATTGTGTTCTAGATGCCATGTAGAGAAACATTGATGTGGGTCAGTCCTCTCTCTATAGATGAGCTGACTAAGGTGCAAAGATTTCGGAGACTTCTCAGGGATCACTCATCCGATAAGGTCCCTAGTGTAGCCTCTTTTCATTGAACTCCATTGCCTTATGTAGAAAAGAGTGTTTTCTTAAATTATTTTTTAATTTTTATCCTTTCTTCCCTTAAAAGCTTACCATTTAAAACATGGTTGTTACACTATTGCATCCATTGTACACTTCAATTTCATTTTAAAGCATTCTCATAGGTTATTATTTAATTGTTAATCCATCCCATGAGATATATTTTAAATAATGGTTGGAGCTACTAATGATGTCCTGTGTCTGAAAGTCTTTACATATTACAAAATTTATTTTGATGGGTTAAAATACGTATTCACTTTGGGACATGATGAAATCAAGGAGAAAAATGGCACCATTTAGAACAGTCAAATTTTAGTTCTTTCAGAAGCGCTCAAACCACACATGTCTTATCATCAGACATGCTTCATGTTTCCTGCACTCTAAACTATTTTACCAATCTCAATCCCGGTGTAGTTATATGAGTTGTATTAGCAGGGAGGTCCAAAATGACGTTCTTCTCTCAGCCTTGTTTCTCCCTTGAAATATATGGTAGTTTCCACCAGGTGGTAGTAGGGAGTTAGAACAGAATTTGAATCTTTAACAGATGTCCTGGACTAAGATATAGCTGCAATGGGGCCACCACCTAAGTCTCTGGGTAGTAAACAGACCTGAGATTTGAGTTCTGCAAAACTGCGACTTTTGCAACTACATCTAGATAGAAAAAAACAATGAGATTAAAATATAAAGAAATGTCAGATAAAAATGAATAGAAAAAATCCACATGGGATTTTTTTGAACCCCTCCCCTTTTCTTAATGGTCAAATGATTTTTTAAGTTAAGTTTATTTTTAACTGATACATAAAGTATAAAATGTACATACTAATGGGGTACCATGTAATGTTTTGATACATGTACACATTGTGTAGTGTTTAAGTCAGGTTAAGCATACTTTTATCATTTCCTTATGGTGAAAACATTCAAAATCCTTTCTTCTTGCTTTTTGACTGTAGAGTGCATGATTATTATTGATAGTTACTCCACTGTCAACAGACACCAGAACTTCTTACTGTAACTAGTGCACACTGATTGACCTCTCCTATCCCTCCCTCATCCCTCCATTGCTTAGCCTCTGCCAACCACCATTCTATTCTCAACTTCCATGAGATCAAATATTTAACTATTTTAGATTCCACGTATGAATGAAATCATGCAGCATTAATCCTTCTGTGACTGGCTTATTTTATTTATTGATCTCTAGTTCTATCCATGTTACTGCAAATGACAGGATCCTGTTCTTCTTTATGGCTGAATAATATTCCCTTTTGTATATGTACCATATTTCCTTGTTCTTTCATCAGTTAGTGGATACTTTGGTTGTTTTCTGTTCTTAGCTGTTCTGAATAGTGCTGTAGTGAGCACAGTGGTACAGATGTCTCTTTGGCATACTGATTTCATTTTCTTTGGATACATACCCAGTAGTGGGCTTGCTGGGTCATATGATAGTTTTATTTTTAATATGTTGAGAGACCTTTGTACTTTTTTCCTTAAGAGGTGTGCTAATTTATATTTCTACCAACGTTGTGCAAGGGTTCCCTTTTTCCATATCTTCACCAGAACTTTATCTTTTGTCTTAAAAAAAATAATACTCAATCTTACTGGAGTGAGGACATTGTGGTTTTCATATTTTCCTGGTGATAAGTGATGTTGAACATTTTTCCATACAAGTTGGCCATTGGTATGTCTTCTTTTTAGAAATGTCTATTTAAGTCTATTGCCATTTTAATCAACTTATTTGTTTTGGATATTAACTCCTGGTCAGAAGCATAGTTCACAGATATTCTCTCCCATTCTGGAGGTTATCTCTTCACTCTGTTCTGATTCATTTACTCTATACCAGTTTTCTTTTATGTAATCCCATTTGTCTATTTTTGCTTTTGTTTCCTGTGCTTTTGGGGTCTTGTCCAAAATATCCTCACCCATTCCAATGTCCTGAAGCATTTCCCCTATGTCTTCTTCTTGTAATTTTATGTCTTACACTTGTCTTAATCCATTTGGAGTTGATTTTTATGACTGATGAGGGAGAAGGGTCGAGTTTCCTTCTGCCTGGGGAATCCAGTTTCCTAGCACCATTTATTGAAAAGCCCTTTCTCCAGTATGTGTCAGCACCTTTCTTGAAAATCAGTTGGCTGTGTTGTGTGGGTTGACTTCTAGGCTCTCTATGCTCTTCCATTGGTCTGTGGGTCAGTTTTATGCCAGTACCATACTGTTTTGTGTAGTATATTTTGAAGTACTATGCCTCCTGCTTTGTTCTTTTTGCTTAAGATTTCTTTGGCTATTTAGTGTGTGTGTGTGTGTGTGTGTGTGTGTGTGTGTGTGTTTTCAATTTCTTTCACCAATATTCTATAATTTTCATTTTAGAGACCTTCCACCTTTTTGATTAAATTTATTCCTAGGTATTTTATCTTTTGGTAGCTATTGTAAATGTCATTGCTTTCTTGATTTCTATTTCAGATCATTGACTAGTAGTGTCTAGCAATGCTACTGATTTTAGACTGTTGGAACTAATAAGTTTAGCCAAGTTGTAGGTTACAAATGAATAATTTCTAAGACTATTCATCCTGGGGTTAGTAAGCCTTTTCTAAGTTCAAGATCCTCTACCAGAAACACAATAAGAACTCTCCTGGGGATTTTCTAGATGTTTCTGAGACATGGGCTACTTAACTTCTAGGAATTTCCACAACCCACTGAGCATACCAATAAACAATTTTTGCTGAAATTGTATCACTTTGAATGCATTTTTTCCCCGTAAAACAATTCTCTTAACTCCTGCTGTACCCAGCTTGACTTATTGTTATGTAATGGGGAGATTTAAGAAATTAAAATGATGGTAACTGAACAGGAAAGAGCATTTTGAGTGTGTATATATTATATATATTCCTAGGAGCCTGGGAGAGGAGTGTGACGATGGAGACCTGCTGAATGGAGATGGCTGTTCAAGGACATGTGAACTAGAGAAAGGCTTCAACTGTGTTGGTGAGTTCAGGGGTTCCTGGCAAGAATTATAACTTGTTTTTAGAGGCATCCCTGGGAATTATTTTTGTGAGTCTCTAATATCTTCTAACATATAGCTTAATGTTAACAATAATAGCAATGACATTTGATATTTCCATTGTATCCCAGGCACTAAGTATTCCACATATATTATCTCATTCAATATGTAGCATGATTATGAGGGAACTGAGACATAGATGGCTTAAATAACCTGCATGTGCTTATTTGCTAGAAGTGGTCAAGTCAGGATTTGAACCAAGGGAATACAGCTCTAGAATTTCAATTAAACCACATTAGTTTTTTGTTGCTGTGACCAGAGTACCTGATAAGGACAACTTAAAGGAGGAAAAGTTTATTTGGGGCTCACAGTTTCAGTGTTCTCACTCCACAGTAGTCCGACTCCTGCTCTGGGCCTGAGGTGAGGCTGAACATCATGGAAGAAGAGGAAATCTGCTCAGCTCAAGGCAGACATGAAGTGGGGGTGGGCACACTTGCATGAGGAGCTAGTTACATAAGGCATAACCCCCAAAGGCATAGCCTACTTCCTCCAGCCATGCCTCACCTGCCTACCACCCAGTAGGCCATTCAAATTATTAATCAATAAAATGGGTTAATCTACTGAGGAGGTTATAGCTCTCATCATTGCCTTAAAAAAACCTCAATAATTTTATACTACTTACATATTAAAATGATAGCATTTAGATATGTTGAGGTAGCTATAATATTATTAAAAGTAATTTACCTGCTTCTTTTTACTCTTCATGGCTACTAGAAAATTGAAAATTATATCTGTAACTTTCATTATATTTCTATTGGGCAGCACTGAACAAGATGATACACAATATGCATAGTTTATCTTCAAAATAGAAATATAAAAGTACTGCCCTTCAAGATTGTGTTCTAGATGCCATGTAGAAAAACATTGATGTGAGTCAATCCTCCCTCAGTAGATCTCTTTATTGGGGACCATGTTATCAAAACATGAGCTTTGGGGGGACATTTCTAGATTGAAACTATAGCAAACTATGAGGTTTTAGTGTTCCCTGGCTTAATGATGCCAAGGATTTTTCTTTGGCCCTCAAATGTAACACTAAAATGTCAGATAAGTAGCACAATGACATGGATTCTACATACAAATAGGGGTAGGGAAACATTCCAAGCCAAAGAGAGTGCAGGCTGACTTCCTGAGTCTGTACTTAATGGATAAGCTCAGAAGGACAACAGAAGGCCATATCATTTCAGTCCAGGAGAATCTCTGGTGATAGATCATGGCGAGATGACTCTGACTCCAGACCCTTGGGCCCGGGAGCCAGTCTACAGCACTTCTCCCAATTCTGATGCAAGCCATTGCTGAAGGTTTCTTCAGTGCGGTATTTTCCATCCCCAGAGGCATGCATTACAGCAAGTCTGTGAAGCACAACCATACAGCAAAGTTATTTTAAACAGCAGTGTGTTTAAAAACACTTCAGTGTCTCCAAATCTCAAGATGAAGTAGGCTATGATTTCAATTATGTAGAATTTATTAAGGTTTCAGGTACATATAGAACATATAAATATCCTTGCTCTCTTGAGCAAGAACTAAATTGTAGAATGTTAGTAACCATCCATCCATCCATCTATCTATCCAAACATTTGTTCAACAAACAAATGCCCACAATGTACATGTATTCAGTAGTAACACAAATTCAGTGCCCGTCATATGCAAGAGTCTTGAAGAGAACTGATACGTTAATGATACTATCTAGCTTCACGCTCTTATAGAAACCCCTTCTACCAATTCCTGAGGAAGAGACCCCTAGCTTTTACTTACATAATTCAAGAGTGCAGAATGCCTTTAGCTTTACTATTATAAATTTTTCCCTTTTCCAGTCTGTAAACTGAGGCTCAGAACATTTAGGTGACTCATCCTAGGGCATACAACAAGGTCTCTGCAGAGCCAGCCCTGGAGCTCAGCTTTCCTGTGTTCAATCAAGTGCATTTTCCTTGCTATGAGACTACAGAGGATACATTTTTTCCCTGTTTTATTTGACTACCATTCAGATATTTCAAATGCCTCCTCATTACTCTCCTTGCCAACCCAAACATCCCCTCATGTGATTAGGTTTCCAGACCCTTCCCTCTCTACCCCAAACTGGCATGCTTTGTGTGGTCAATGCCCAGAAAGGAATCCAATACTCCAGATGTGGTTTGGCTGTGCAGACTACCCTGAGCTGATTTCCTCCCCCTTGTGCACAAGTATTTGTTAATGCCACCTCTCTTTGCATCGTTTCTTTTTGGTAGTTACATAGTGGTCTCATATTGAAAATAAACATACATTCCCCAAACACTGTGCGGCTCAAGTCTCATTTAACCTAAGAGTAGATTTTACTTTTTCTATCGCATTGGATCCCATAAAGTTTGACTCATATTTCCTCAGCTTTTAACTCCAGTAAGACTATATCTAAATTATTTTAACTATACTTAAATACTATATTTAAGACTATCTTTAAATTATTTACTGGGTAAACTTACAGCAGTGTGTTCCACCATTAAACATCTTTTTCAGGGAATAATAAGCTCATTTTTTGTTAAGCATATAGTTCTATCTCATTAGTTTTTCAAAAGATTAGATTTGAGGGCTGGGGATGTGGCTCAAGCGGTAGCGCGCTCGCCTGTAACGCGCAGGGCGCTGGGTTCAATCCTCAACCCCACATAAAAATAAAAAATAAAGATGTTGTGTCCACCTAAAACTAAAAAATAAATATTAAAAAAAGATTAGATTTGAAGCAACCATTGGAAATATGTCTTAAAAGTAGTCTATTGTTTTCAGATAGATTTGAAAAAACAACATGACAACAATTTTAATTCCATGTTTAAAAATAATAGACAACAGGAAAAAAGCAGTCACTGGGTTGTAAATAGAAAAACATTGTGTGTGTGTGTGTGTGCATGTGTGTGTGATTACTATAAATAAAGAGAGAAAGATGGGAATTATATGGGAAAGTCCTTCCAAAGGTACTTTGGGGAGAGGCTGGGGTAGGTCATAGGTTGGATGGAATGCAGGAGCAGAGGGCCTCAAACAGCATGGCGTCCTGTGTAGTGTTCTGCCTGGGCACAGACATAGAGTCACCATGGAGCTGAGCTGCTGACAAATCACTGGAGTAGCCCCATGGGCTTGCCATGAGGACATACAGACAGAAAGCCTGGTACAGTAACAGTGAGCTTTAGTAGTGATCTTACTGAACATGCATCTTGGTGTTGATTTTGTATCAATCTTGATCTTATTTTAATGTCTTACTATTTAGGTAGGTATGAGAAATAAGAACCATGCACTTAATATTAATTGTCCAGTATCTTGGTTCAAGAACAACAGAACTTAATCTATGGCTTCGTAACTGTTTCTCAGCTTTCCACCTGTGGAGAAAACAAGCCTGCATGTCTGTGTGGAGTCAGTACTCTTCACTTAGCGGGAGTTACCCTGCAAGTGCGGCGCCTGCCCAGGGCCTGCAAGCTTGCTCTGCAGCCACCAGCCCCCCCACAGTCCCCTCTCACTTGTCTGCTGCCTCAGCAGGAGACAGTACAGAGCCACAGGAGGAAGTGAACCTGCCCCCAGGGGCAAGCGTGCCTCAGCAAGTCACATAGATGTGCTGAGACTCAGGTTTCCCCCTAAAGAAACACGCAGAAACCGCACACCTCACATGGTTGTCCTACATGAGAGAAAGAAAACACAGGACACCTTATAAGCTTCAAACCCATGCATCTAGTTTCAAAGCAATTACATGAGAGAAGCACTATCCAAAAAATGATTAAAAGAAATAATTCAATGGACAACCCTCTTAAATATTTTAATATTTCAAAGACTATAAAGGGGATTTAAGCATATAATACAATACTCCACTTTTTGAATTCTTTGTTCTTTTTCTTCCTTCTTTTGTACCTCCAACTTCCTCTAAGTATTTAACTTAAAATTTCTTCCCACACTCGACCTACAGCTGCTTTTGTTCTGCCTGTCCTCTCTTCCCAGTCCCTACTCTTTCTATGACTTTATCATGAGGTGGATTCTAATGAAAGGAATGAGAAAGGAGCCTTCTCCCTTGGAGAGGTGGTATGTGTGTTTGGGGTGGACACTAGGCTACCTGGCAATCACCGGACCTCAGGGGGCCACAGGAGAAATGCTGCAGCACTCTCATGTTGACTTTTTCCCCACGAAATATAAAAACACTGTGTCATACACATTTCTCGGCAGGGGAACCAAGCCTTTGCTACACGTATGAGGGAGATGGGATTTGTGAGCCTTTTGAGAAGGAAACCGGCATCAGGGACTGCGGCCTCCATACTCCTGAAGGATACTTGGACCAGTGGGCCACCCAGGCTTTCTCTTCTCGTGAGGACAAGAAGAAGTGTCCTGTCTCCCTGGTAACAGGAGAGCCTCATTCCATGGTAAATGAAGCCAGATGAACTGTTTTATGAAGTGAGGCTTCCACATACTTAGTGGGCACTCACGTTGTATTCTGGATTTTTTTTTTTTTTTGGTACTGGGGATTGAACTCGGGGGCACTCGACCACTGAGCCATATCCCATCCCCAGCCCTGTTTTGTATTTTATTTAGAAACGGGGCCTCACTGAATGGCTTAGCTCCTCTCTTTTGCTGCGGCTGGCTTTGAACGGGGGATCCTTCTGCGTCAGCCTCCCAGTGCCACTACGACTGGATATTCTAGATTTTGACACCAAATTTTGTCCTCACTAATCTCAGAACATGTTAGGTGGAAAGATTCCAGATTAGCCATGAAGTCCCTCCCTTTGCATTCACCCCACTTAACCTCCCTGGCTTCATCTAGGGACTTCTGATTCCAAGGTAGACATGCATCTCACAATTTCACTCATGAGTACACATGTCAGAAATTATAGTTGGGTTCTGTGTTTGAGACAATTTATCTCAAAATAATAGAGAACAACAGTAAGGAGTCAGAGGACCTGGGTTACACTATTGGTGATGAGTAATGGCAAGTTACTTATCTTCTCGGGACTCAATGAATATGTTAGTATCTGTTGCATTTAACTGAAAGATTTAATATAAAGATCCAATAAGATTTAAAGTACATATTAAAGATCAAAGTACACTGTTATTTAAATGATAATCATTATTATTGGAGAAATCCTGAAGGCAAATCCTTGGGTATATAGTTGCTGAATATCCACCTAAATAGATAGGACATCCTCTGTGGACTCTTAAGATGTTATACTGACCTTTATAAATTATAGTTGAATACTAAAAGAAGATTAAAGGTTCTTGACTCTCGGGTATCATTCTAGATGCTTCCACTGCCACATAGACTCCTCTGGTCATCCTAATGATGGGCAATATAGTCTTTTCACAGAAGTGAGAGAGTCCTTCAAGCATTTCAGGCCAGAATGAAATCATTGCATTTTATACACAAGGAGACATCCCCACAGAGACTGTTCAAGGCCCCACTTGCCTCCTAGATTGCAGATCTTTCATCCTTGGCTTGCAGTTTTCTTCCTTCTGCTCTTATCATGCCTGCTGCTCCCCCTCCACGTGAAGTCAGCATTTTAAGCAGAAGAAGGCTGCTGGCCAAAGGGAAATCGGCACATGCCAGCAGACCTTTCCATTTGCAGGGGAAATGGCAGCTTTTCTGGAAGTTCAACACTGTAAGCTTTCACCCATGTTATTGGTCAGATCTAGGCCACTTTGTCAAGCTTAGTGGTAAGGAACCCTGAGTATTTATGAACTAAATAAACTTGAACAAAATTGGAGTTGGTTAATAAGAAGGTAAAGGGAAATAGATCTGATCAGGCAACTAGACTTTTCTGCCACCCTCTCTTTGCCTAATTTGCCATCTTTCTCCTTAGATTTCCTGCCTAGTGACAGGAAGCTAGGGAACTTGGAGATTCTAAGTTAATGACAGCTCTCTCAAGTGGCTTTCAGTCTAACCTGCTGTCTTTCCTAAGTGAAGTGGAAGAAGTGTCCTGGAGTTTTGCTTCTTGTCTGCTTTATTCAGCTGAATGCTCAATGACTCCCTCACTCATTTGAGGGCCAATGGGTACTGCATGGTGAAGACCTAACCATTATCCCTGAAAGACTTCTATGGCTAATCTTTGGAACAGTTACCTGAAATCTGCCAGAACTATTATTTGGGCAAGATCCCTAGTGCATTGAGAGTTGTCATTATGTTTTTCTATCCGAGCAAGTTATATCTTGAGGCTAACAGAGAACATTGAGAAATTCTACATTGAGAAAAGTTTTTCTTCCAATAATGGAACTATTTCCTAATAGTTAGGAGGAGAGTAACAACTTGGTTTTGCACTGAAGGCTTTTATTGTCTTTCCTTCTCTTTTACATTCCACACTTAAGTTTTGATTGAAATTGCATTTCAGATTTGCACATCACACCATCCAGATTTACCCAAGCAACATTCCCTTCCTGGCTGGTTTCCCTGTGTTACCAATGGAAAAAGACCTCAGGATGAAGGGAGTGAGCAGCCAGAAGGTATCCTGGAGAAGGAAGATGAGGTTTGGCTTAAAGTAAGTGGCCCCGGTGCTTTCTGTGAAAGTTATAGATAGGAGTGCACGTGTATGCACTTACACACCCGAGTGCATGTGTGTGCGTGTAAAATTGCCATTTGAATTGTTTTTCAGGAAATTTCCTTTTGTTATCTCCAAGAGTTTATATCTTGAATTTGTTTTCACCTCTTTTTTAATTTTGGACTTCGGTCCACATGATCACTGTATTTAAGTGGCATGCACACAGAAAAGTGCAAAAATCAGAAACACACAGCTCAGTAAATTTGGAGGAGTGGAACATGCTCTCTAGCCACCCCATGGATCAGCTATTCCCAGCTCTCTTGTGGCCTTGTCTATTGTTAGGCTATAGGAGTGTCAACTACTTTTATTTCTATCACCATAGATTAGTTTTGCCTATTTAAACTTTATTAGAAAAACTTTACCTCAATATCCCTTGTGTATGAGTCTTTCTCATGCAACTTAATTCTGACTGCTTGCCCTGGTGGTAGTGTTCATTTTCAGTGCAATGCAGTCTTCCAATATATGAACTTGTGATACATTTTATTGTTCTAATGTCCATATTGTTGGTTATCTTCATATATTAAATACTTGGATAATGCCTAGTTTTTCAGTTTTTACTATTAAAAATTGTTCTGCTATAAAACTTTGCTGTGCATTTCTTTTAGTGAACATATGTAAACTGATGAATATATTTAGAAATGATAGATCACTGATAGGCCAGCTTTGGTAGATAATCCCAAATAATTTCCCACAGTGGTTGTACTAATTTGTACTCCTACCAGAAGTTTATGTTTTAATTACTTCACCTTTTCATCAATACTTAGCATTTTAAGTATTAATTTTAGCCTTTTGTTGAGCATGTCAAGGTATTCCTCCATGGTTTTCATTTGTATTGCATGGTTAATGAGATTGGGAACTTTTATATTTATATTGGCCATCTGTATATCTTTTTCCTTTGTTTTCTGAAAGGCAAGGTCAGGTCTTGTGCTCAATTTTTTATTGGGTTGTGTGTCATTTTCTTCTTAGTTGATATGATATTTTGCCATTTTCTACGTATGAACTCCTATGCAACTCTTTGCTCTTTAGTATCTTCCAGCACCTCCTGAGAACTGTACCTCGCTCTTAATGACGTCTTTAGACAGTCTTTTCTTTTGTGGTAGGGTTGAAGTATTTTGCCTGTCACAAATTACAAAAGTTCTGCTTTCCCATATTGTCTTCTGGAAATGTAATTGCTTTACCTTTCATGTTCAGGTTTACAATTCATCTGGGATTTCTGTGTGTGTGTGAGGTAGGGATAAGCTTATCAATTTGCACATGTGAAAAAAAATAAATGCAGTTTTGTCTGGGATTTCATTAGAGCTATAAATCCATTTGGAAAGAATTTTCATCCTAAAACATTGAGTCTTCTAATATAGTCCTTCAGTTGTTTAAGACTTTAATTTCTCTTATAAACATTTATGGTCTTCTGAGGAAGAGTCAAATTTTATCAAATGCTTTTTCTGCATTTATTGAGATAATCATCTTATTTCTCCTTCTTTCTATTAATATCCTGGCTTATACTGATAAATTTTAAAACATTAAACCAACCTTAGATGCCTTAGGAAAAAACAAACAAAAATCAATTTAGAGGTGATGTATTCCCCTTTTGAAATTGTGCTGAAGTCTGTTTGAAGGCATTTTGTTGTTCTTTCCCCTGAGAGCTTGGCTCCTAATTTTCTCCATTCTACTGTTTTATCAGGTTTTATGCTCAAGACTGAGTGTGACTCCTAACATAAGTGTCTTTCTTTCCCACTCCTCTGGAATATTTTGTGTAAGGTTTTTGTTGATTTTTAAGGTACTTACTCATTGAAGCTATCTGAGCTTGGAATTTTCTTTGAGGAAAAAAAAATTAAATAATAAATTAAACCAACCCAGAATAAAATTCTGCATCTTAAGAAGATTCCCAGGTGATCCACATGCACCTTCAATTTGGAAAACACTGTTCTGTGATATATTTATCCTACATTTAAATACAACTAGTCATCTGAAAATATTTTTTTATCACTTCTTGGCCTTTGGCTAAAATCAAGTGAAAATATTCTCTCAAAAATATCTACTAGACAAACTTTAGATAGGGCAAAGAGAAGGGAGGAGAAGGGAGGGAGCATGGGTGTAGAAAAGATGGTGGAATGAGATGGACATCATTACCCTAAGTACATGTATGAAGACACAAATGGTATGACTCTACTGTGTATACAACCAGAAAAATGAAAAATTGTACTCTGCTTATGTAATATGAATTGAACTGCATTCTGCTGTTATATGTAACAAATTAGAATAAAATTTTAAAAATTAAAAAATAAAATAAAATTATCTCTGATATCCTAAAAAAAAGTTTTAAACAAACATAGGAAATTTTAGGTTTTCTATATCTTCTTAGACCAATTTTTCAAGTTGAATTTTTCAAATCATTGGCCTATTTTTCCCCCTAAAATATCAAACTTACTAAGTTTGTTATGATATTTTGCTATTTTTTGTACTATTTCTATGTCTCTGGGATATATTTTTTCAAGCGTGCTATTATTAATTTGTATGTATTTTTGTTCAGTCTTGCTAAGCATTTATCATTTTAATAAGTTTTTCATCAATGTGTCTTTGCAATCAAACAAAGGTATGTATGCTCTTATTTTTCATTATTGTCTTCCCCTTTGTTGTTGCTGTTGTTTATTTTTTTCAGTGTCTGGTGCAGGATATGCAAGTGCTCTACCTCTTAGCTCCATCCCCAGCTCTATTGGTTTTCCTTTTATGTTTACTTTTAACTTGCTTTCTTTTTCTACTACCTTGAGATTATGCTTAAAATACTGATTTTTACCCCTCCCCTTTATATGTCATTCCTTTAAGACCTACATTTCTTTGGAAGCACAACTTAGCTTCATTCCACAAGTTTCCACATACCTTATTTCTATTACCATTCAGTTCAAGCATGTTTTAAAATTTTGATTGTGATTTCTTTTATGACCCTTGAATTATTTTTAAGTGGGTTGTTTAACTTGAAAACATTTTTTGGATTTTTGGTTACCATTTTTTTGATTTGTCTTGGTACTGGAGATTGAAGCCAGGGTGCTTTGTCACTGAGCTACATCCCCAGCCTTTCTCATTTTTCATTTTGAGACAGGGTCTCACAAAGTTGCTGAAGCTGGCCTTGAACTTGTGATCCTCTCTGTCTCTGCCTCACTAGCAGCTGGGATTACAGTCCTACACCACCATGCCTGGTTACCTTTTTGTTTCAATTACAGATATTCTATAAATCAGTCTTTTTAATATGTTTCAATCCTTTGAAATTTGTTGAGACTTGAGTTATGGCCAATACTTGCAAATGCTGTTTATAAAGAAATATGTAGTTAGCAATTGTCAGACGCTATGGCATTCTGTGTATTTGGGAGGTCAAGTTGGTCCATCATGTTCTTAAAATTTCCTATATCATCTTCATTTTATATATATATTTCCCCAATATTTTCTGCATTGTTTCCCTCAGTCCCTAAAAGATGTATGTTAAAATCTTCCACCAAAATCTTGGGTTTGTCTATTTCTTCTTTAGTTTTGTCCTTTTTTAACTCATACACTTTGAGGTTATCTTAGTGACTATGCAGGCAGTCCTCAATTTACCTGATGGTGTGGGGGGACCTCCAAATGACTATGAGACGGAAACTGTGCAAATCAAATGGTAGTCCATGGGAGAAGCACAACCATTTCATGACCTATAAGTTTTTTCCACAACATGAAATGCTCTCTTACTTTTCAGTTATACATATGGCAGGCAATGAGAAAACAGTGAAACTACTATTTCTTTAGTTTACCATCAGTCAAAACGTTAGAAACATGGAGAATTTAAGCGTTGCATTTCCTTGTTTAAAAAAGAAAAGTTCTGTAAGTAGCTGGAACACGTCCTGCCTTTTTTCTTATCATGCAACATACATTGCAAAGCCAGCAGTGTCCCTGTGCCTTGGTGAATCATCATATCCCTTGCTACGCAGTTTTTGGCCCGCTGTTCTTCACACTTTCACTGTTATGCATCATCTGTGAGAGTTCCTTTAACATGAACTTTTCAAATTGACATTGTTTCCTCTGGGATGTGTTCATTCTTTTTGTCAAAACTGCTTTTCTGGTTCGTGATGATAATTCCACTCACTGAGTCTCTCAGGCTGTGTGTTGAGAGTCTCTTGAATGGCACCAGTGTCAACATTCTCAGTCAGTGATTCCTTCTACGATCTGTTTGCCATGGATCACATTTCACTTGTAGCATTATCAAACTTTGCTACAATTTCATCCTTATTGGTCAGTTCTCTCTTTTGATTATCCATGTTCACAGTATCTAGCGGTGTATCGCTGGGAGCAAGAAATCAGCACAATGATATATTTAGTGTCTGTGTGACCCAAATAACAAATACCTAATGACCAGTCAGTGACAGACTCTGAAAGAAGTGATGAGATTGGTCAGGGGTCCTGATGCCCATTTGTTATTTGCATGGAGATATTTGGATTAAGAGGCTAGAAGTGATGTTCGTACTTCATTCAGTTGCAGTTCATATAATGTGCTAACTGAAGTTTGAATCATGCTGTTGAGAGACTGGTTTTAGTTAAGAAAATTGTTATTAATGTTATTATGGATATGGGAACTGTGTAAATTGGAAACAGCCTGTATATAATTTTAGAATTTCTTTATTTTCCTGGTGAATTTTCTCTTTAAAATAAGAAATAGATATTTTTAATATCTAGTAATACCTACATATTTTTCTTTTATATTTTTATTGTTTTTGAAGTTCTTCATTCCATAGTCTATTAAAAATAAATCATAATCATTTTAAAATCTGTGTCTGAAAGCACCAATATCTTAGTGACCCGAGCTCCACTTATGTTGACTCTTTCTCTCTTAATTTTCATTCATCTGGTCTTTCTACTATGGTACTGAATAATGTTTTAACTGGCCCTTGGGCACAAAATACACTGTAGAGATTCTGGTT